GTACGCTGAGCCGCGGCAACACTTAGTTCAATTCCACACTCTTCCTCATCGATCAAAACCAGTCACCGTGCACGCTAGAGCAAGACTCCATCAGCTGCTGATTCCTGAAGAAATCATCAGCCCTGCAAATCTGCTCATGAGGTACCATTCGGTCTGATACATTTTGAAAATTAGGATGCTATTGGCCGCTACAATTGTGTATGGTTAGAAGAGAAGTCAGAAAATGACGCGCCCAGGCCTATTTTGACACCTTACCAGTGCCCGCGTTCAGCACGACTACCAATTCAGGTGCGCTCAATGAAGGATAATTCGCACAATAAATTCCGCCCGGCAACTACACTGCACACAACAAACGCAACACAGTCAAGCGATCCCGCAGGTGTGTGAGCTGAAACCCTCGCAAAAAAATAGCAAGAGGAAGAAAATGCCAAGAAGTCACGCACTTCTGAACAGTCTGCACCCAAGCCCAAATGGTCGTTATCCGTTTTTTGCGAGTTGCTTGTAAAGGAAGAAAATGATTTAATCAGCTTGTGCCCTGATATTCAGGAAGAACTGAATCCCATAAAGGCGTCAAATGTTAAAAAGAGCTTGAGCCGGGGGAAGGAAGTGGGAGCAAAAAAGAGGGACCGCCTTCGAAGTAGTTCCGGCGAACGGGATGCGTCGAACAGTTCAGTATGAATCCGATTCCTTAAATCGAGGATGAGAAGAGTACACGAAATCGGGCAGGCAGCCCGCAGCTAACAGATTCCTTTCAGAACATCTCTGGAAGCAATCGGGTGACAAACAGCTTGTCCAACTGAGAAGCACTTTTGGCTGCTTACGCTCCACTGCACACAAAATCATTAGCGACGCGTTCCGGCGGGCCCGTGCGATCATGCGTTTTTGCAAAATTTCGTGCTGTAATGAGATCGCTCGGAAACATAGTAGCCAGAAATGTGTAATATACTACTGGTCCTCGAAGTCCGGGAAGCTAATTGTCTACGTGGTATTTGGACAGGGAACATTTTGTTGAAATTTCAGCTTTCCAAATTTTCTGGTTCTTGAGTTAGCAATTTTCCTGCCAAAAATTTTCA